TATATACACACACACATATATGTGTGTGTGTGTGTGTGTGTGTGTATGTGTGTGTGTGTGTAATATACAGTGGACTGACCTACTTTTGCTCCCTTTTACTTTTACATTGTAAATAAATTCTTTTCTTTTGCCTCAGTAACTTTGACTCCCATTTCAGAAGGGTTTTTGGTTTTGGTTTTTTGTAACGTGCCTGCACACTGTACTGTTTTCCAGGTATCGATCTTATGCACGCTTATGTTTTGTTATGATACTTGTACTTGTACTTGGACTGTTCATGAATCAAGGCTGGCATCCACTCGTCTCTTGTCCTCATTTTCTATCAGAATTTTCTTAAGTCAAAACATTTTACTGCAGATCTTGAATTTACTCAAAATAAAAATCACATTGGGTTCTTAATTGTCCCTGTGACATCGGGGAAGTACACTTAAGAGCAGCTTAAGTGGTAATATTCTACATTCATTCCATATGTTTGTATCTCAACTTGAACAAAGTTCAATTCCTAAAATTAAAATAACTCAAATAAAAACTTGTTACAACCAAAATATGTAGAAGAGCATCGCTGAATGTATAATATACATTGACCTAGATGTGCTACAGCAGCAAAAGACCACACTGGATGCCATTCCGATCAACAGATCAAGAAACTGAGGCAGCAGTTTGCTCTACATAGTTTGGACAACTGAAGACTGGGAAATGCTGTCAGTTCATATTATTCTTGAGTTCTGCTGCCATACTTGGATGGCAGGGACATGATGTCAGATGTTAGAATTGGGTATAAACAACATGAAAGGATGGATCGATCCTTCCTTGTATCAACAGTTCATGGTGCTGCTGCTGGTGTAATGGTGTGGGGAATATTTTCGTGGAAACGTTTGTGACCCTCAGCACCAACTGAGCATCCTGAGTATTGCTTTTGACTATGTGCATCACTGTAGAGTTTCCGTCTTCTGATGGCTGATTCCAGCAGGAGCACCCACCATGTCATAGAGTTCAAATCACCACACACTGTTATTTTTACATGACAAGTTCAATGTGCTCCAACGGCTTCCACAGCCATCACAGCCTAAATCCACCAGACCAGCTTTGGGATGTGGCTGAACTGGAGGTTTGTCTTTATGAATGTGCTGCCACCGGAGCACATTCATAATGTGCTCCGTTACCAGAGCTGGAAAGTGAGTTATTCAGGAGAACTCTCCCCAGCATTAGCTGCCCTGCTACTGTACCACCTTAATAAACCATGGTGAGGAAAAACATCTTGTGCTTAAGCGTCTGTGTGAAAGTTACTGCATATATGTTCAGTGCAGACAGATATATAGTGCAAATGGTTATATAGGTATATAAGTCATCCAAAAATCCCCCTGCCCCCCCTTCCCTGTCACTCTTCATTATATCTATCAAAAAAGGACCCAATATTATTATTTTTTAAAGAAAATGAATGTGCAGCCACCAAATCTACAGCAGCTGCACGATGCTATCACATCAACATGAACCAAAATAACT